TGGCTTTGGAGTATACACCCTGTCTTTTGAAAATCCCCAGAGAAAAAAATTCTGTGGACTTAAATCAGAAGAATGTGGTAGCCAAACACAGTTCGTCCTGAACGAAATCAGTTGGTTACCGAAAGTTTTTCTGTAACCATACAAGAACTTGTTCTGATTTGTGTGGGTTGCTCCATCTTGTTGGAAATATATCATAGGCACTGTACAAGGAAAAAGTTTCAGTAATGCCGTAAAGTTCTGTATACACTTCCATAACTGGGCATGTTTCCTAGATTTTTCATAACACTTCTCACTGACTTTTGTGGCGTTTCCGTTATCAGTTCTTCAACAACTGCAACCAATTCAACAGTTCTGATTGTCAGGGGCCTTCAAATGTTTTTCAAACGAACATCTACTGATCCAGTCTTTTGTAATTTCTTCACTAACTTAATAACCTGCAATTTTTTAAGCTTATTGCCCAGTTGATAACATTTTCTCATGATATGAATCCCTGTTTAGGGTGAATGTGTCTCAAAATATAATTGGACAATTTCTATAGCTCTCTGATTTGACATATCCATGCAAAATAAATAATAACAGATTTATGACGTCATAACGTCATGACAACGTCAACATTTTCCCATATTTTCATATTTATTTAAATGGTGGAATTAGCAGTTTAAAATGATGTATAAATGAAATATGTAGAACGTTTTTTGACAAAGATATTGAAAGTCAAAGTAGTATCAGATATTTTGGATCACCCTGTATGTGTATCTGAATTTGTTTTTGTAACATTTACATACGACATTGAAAACAACAATTGTTGTATTTTTATCCTTTGACACAATTTATTGTTTTTGTCAATGAAGTAAAATACAAATATAATTTTTTTTAAGTATATATTACTCGCATGTCTGGTTCACTACTAGTACCAGATTTTGTAAAAACATAGAAATATTCTTTAGTTATTATTTACATGAATTAATTTAATGTCTTTCCTTTCAATTTCTGTTTTACTATTGAAGCTGGTCTCTGGATACCGATTAAGTAATGCCACCTTACTATTGACACGAGTCTATCTGGTACGTGTATAATGTAACCCTTCTTTGAAACTCGATCTACTTTAAATACTGATTTATACATTTGCTAATTTCCAAATGTTTTCCCTATTCTAGTTAAATATAAAAGTCTGCTTCTTTTGTATTCAAAAAGTATCTTCCATTGGAAACATAAAATGAGTAAATAGATAAAAGAGTAATTATTCCAAATATCTTACATTGTCAAGAATAAGTGCTTGCATTGTTTGCTTTATTAACTCACCGATATCTTCAGAATCAATATTGACATTCTCTTCTGTATCAAAAGGTATCCACTCGTCTTCTTCTTCATTCCTTAAACTATCTTCTGTGACGCAATTCTCTGTCGCTTCTTGAGTACTATTGGCACAACTCTCTGTAAAAAAAAATTGCTCCCATAAAATGAGTAAATAATGCCAATATCATATATTGTCAAGAATAAGTGCTTGCACTGTTTGCTTTATTAACTCATCGTTACCTTCAGAATAACTACTGACATTCTCCTCTGTATCATTAGAAATGTCCCCCTCTTCTTCTTCAGTACTTAAACCATCTGCTGTGACGCCATTCTCTGTCCCGTCTTGTTTACTGTCGACACAAGTCTCTGAAACAACATGTCCTCCTTCTTCTTGTTCACTATTAACACTAGTTTCTGTGATTTTTTGCCCTCTTTCTTCTGGTTCATTATTTACACCAGTCTTTTGGACACCATGCTTTTTCTGCTCTATATCAGTCTCTTTGACATCAGGAATGTTCTTCTTTGGTTCTATGTTGACACAGATATCAGCGATACCTTTGTCTCTCTCCTTTGGCCTAACATTGTCTATAGCATCTGAGTAATCCTCAGTTTTACTACTGAGATTAACATCTGTGACATCATGGAAGTTTTCCTGTTGTTCAAGCTCTACGAATAAGCCTTTTTGCAAATTCATCGTATGTTAATAAATAAATCAAATACCGAATATTTTAATTGATATTTCTAAAATAATCCGTAGTTTTTCTTAGAGAAATGTAAACCCATTAGATTATTTTTTTTTAATTTAAAGATTGTCTTAGGGGATATTTATTTCGATGTCAATAATATCTTTTCAGCTTCAAGGATTAAAGTATTTATATCTTTAATGTATTTCTAAATAAAAATAAATTTCAAAAAATCATTACCATCAGATGGATCTGTATGTGTCAGCAAAGGTCGCTTATATTCTGAAACTCCAGAAATAATCTCTCCTTGATGGATTCTGATCTCAGCATCTTCTGATTCACCAGCTACTGATAAAAAAGAACATTCCACTTGTTATACCTAGATCGTTTGTCTCTTTCTGTCCGTCGGTCTGTTTTGCTTTGAGGTACCCATCTATTATTCATGTTTTCTTTTATACCACTGAGCGACACTGAGCGATTTAATGATATTTCTACAATATCTTTATTATTATTCATTATGACCTCTTATTTAACTTTTCGCATTTGACAGACATTTCTAGTTTCTAATAACAGAAGATGAATTCTGCCATTCTTTCTATAATATTTAAGGATCCTAATCGCTTATTCACAACTCTACCTACACAACGTAATGTTATTTGGTACAAATTCGCATATTCTTTATTTGATAATCCCATTGTGAACTTCTTATTTTTTTTATTTTTTTTGATCAGATACTTATTTTGGGTCTCCCAGAACGAAACACGAATTGTTTAAATAAAATCATTCGGGAGGCATAGGTTTTCAACACCCCCTCCCCCCCCCCCCTTTGAGAAAGCTGTCACTGCAAATTGTTGAATTATAATATTAACTTAAAAATAAGAAAAAAATAGTATTAAATGCATTTTTACAGTGTTTATGTACAATGTTCAATAATTTAAGTTGTGAAAAAATGATACAAAGTTCATTGATATATTTACATACTTTACAAAAAGAATATTTTTCACCATGTAATTATTTCAAGAATATGGATTAATCGCTTACACTCTAAGCAATGATGAATATGTTGTAAATGTTAAACTATTTTATAATCATATACACATATTTAAAAAAAATACCTAAAAATATATGAATAAATAACCTAAAAAAAACAACCAAACGAAAAAAAGGGAAATGTTTAGAGGCTTTTATCATATTGTTAAATATTCTTAGTCAAATGTCCCTGTGTTTTATAAAATAATATTCATTTTTATAAATCATTTATTATATATTCAGTTATTTCTGGTTCTGTGATTTGCTGAGATCCAACACCACCTGGAAATCTATCGGTATCCCCCCCCCCCCCCCAAAAAAAAAAAAAAAAACTAGTTTTTCTTCTTTAAGCCTTTTTCTCGGGAAATGTAAACAATATACTGAGTAACATTGATTTCTTAGCATATTTTTAATCATTTAATTAATGAGTCGAATAATACATCGCTTATTAGTATAATATAGCCATATTTAGTTTCATATTAGCCTCGTCTTTCATGAATGGTGAATAACGCATCCGAAAGTTTATAGATAAGAAAAATAACCTAAAACATTTTTAATAACTTTCCTTTGTACTCTCTGTCAAAAATATTTCATTACGACTGCAATAAGGAGGGTATAATCCGATATAATTTAAACAAATATCCATTTTTTTATGTTCTAGTCACAGAATGTACATTAAGTTCATATCTTACATTACATATAATATATTAAATCTGAATATACAGTATGCATTTAGCTTTTACAATTTTTTAAAGTTAAAAATGTCAAAGAGTTACATGTTTGGACTGCAAAATCTTAGAGAATACCTGAAATAGATATGTGCTTCTTGTCATTCTGTTTTCTTTTCCGTTTCCAAAGGACAGCAGCCAGTACCAAAATAGTAATAAACATAACGGCAACCAGGCTTCCAACAATAATCCCTGTAGCGTCGTGATCCTCTTGCGAGAGGTTGTTCTCAAAACTATTGAGTGTTGTGTTGTAGGTATTATGGATTGTTGATAAGCCTAGCAAAGATGTTTCTGTGGTCCCTCTAGTTGTAACATCATTCCTTGTGCTATATGAATGGATGATAAAAAAAATAAAATTCACAAAAATCAAAAGGTGCAAAACTTTCTACAAAGGCACAATACCGTAAAAACAGAGGATTAAACTTTTATTTCAATTTCTCCCAGAATTTTTAGATGGATAATCCTTTTTTAACATTACAAACACTTTATTAAATCTTTTAAATTATATACGGGAATATATTTCAATTTTAAATTTGTAACTATAGCTAAAACGAAATAAAAGTGAAAGTCACTGTATATTTTATTCTCAAATATCTCGCTAGTCATCAATTCAAGTGCAATTAATGAAAACATATGCAAATAAATCGACAATTTTGAATGGCTGCTTCCATGACATGTCATTATTATAATCACATAATTATTATTAGCTATAATCCTGAATTGATAGTAAAGTAGTAATACAAATACATGTAATCATGAATTTGCATAGCGTAAAAAAAGTTAATACATTCACTTTTTATTTTCCAGCTTCACCAGAAATACGTACATGAAAGTTTTAAATCAGTTATCGGTCCCAGTAAACAAAAATATAAGGAATTAAATTAACATATATTGAATAAATATGAAATTATTAACGAAAATTTAACACACAGCAAATGAATTTTGATTGGAATAAATGTGAGGGTCTTGAAAGTCTATTCAGATCCACAATGAAGTCGACAGTATTATGTTTAGAAAGATTTAATTCCGTTTCGTTAAATTCTGTTTCCTTATGTGTTATGAATTAATACCAAGTTGTTACAATATAGAACATCTTATATTTACTATACATTGCGATACATAATCAAAGTACAGAATTACAGAATTTTTGTCTAATGATACCATTTACATTATCATTGTATTTTTTCGTAACAAGATATTGTTTTCTGAAATCTAAAAAGGAAAAATAAAACATATTATATACGAGGCTTGTAATATAAGAAAATTACGTAAACCCTATTTAAGTGATACATTTCATTGTCTAGTATAGGAAGGTGGCGCAGTCTCCTAAAGTTGCAATAAAAATTCGTACATCATTTTCCTACGGAAAAGACAATAAATACTCTGTAATTTCAAATAGAAATGAAAATTCTTGTTATTTTATAATTAACTATGTTATGTTAAATCATGATGTTAATTCTTTAAGAACTATGAATTTTAAAACATTTAAGGTAAGGTTTGCGTCTCCCTCCAACTCATATTTTTTTCAATATGCACACATGCTATATATCAATTTATTCAGGGAAATTAGCTTCATCATTCAATATGATTTTCAAAGATATTGCCCGTCTCATTTTTTGAGTAAAAGACGCCAAATTTAACGTATTTCATATTTCACCTCGAATATTATTTTCATTGAAAAAATTGATTTATTTTATAAATTATCAAACTTTTATAATCAAAATGACCGGAATTAGTATAATTCGTGCTTCTATTATTTAAACTTTTAATTTTCCTTTATCAAAAACGTGAAAATTTGGGTAAAAAAGAAGATTTTTCAATTTTCCTTGATAAAGTGAAACCGTTGCCATGGCAACAAAAATATAAAAACCAACGTTTTACATATCTACCGATTCCATCAAAATCCATGAAGTTATTAATTTGATCATTTTCATTAATTTGAACTAAAAAAATATGTATGTCCCCAATATTATTTCCATGGAAACAGGGGCTATATTATGGGTTCGGAACATAAAAATCAGGCTTTTTCTACACTTTTAAAGACAACATTGATATCACCTTGTCATGGTGAATGTTAAAGACTAAATGTTATTTTTGATATTGTTTTTAGGCATAAATTGGCCAAAAATATTCAAAATAAAACTCCTCCTGTGCTACATGATGGTCTGAAAATTTATTCCATGGAAGAACTCTAGTATTTATGGCAATCTTTACATCTGCATATTCTGATGAAATTGTCCATGAATTATACTGCAACACCTTTAGAAGTACATGTATATGTATATAAACATACTTCAGAACATGTTGCAACTAAACCAATTAAAAGCCTATGAATTTGACCTCATGCTGATTAGTTATTCCAACATGTAGTAACTTCTAGACATCTTTGTAGCAAAATATCTTTATTCAGTTATGGTTGGTGACTGTCATTATACATGTATGCCATTTTTTGACTGAAATGTTGTAAGCATTGCATCCAAGAAGCTACTGTTTTTGTAATTAAATTATTTCTTTACTTTGAAGAGTAGAAATGCTATCTTTAAAGTAATGTTTGTTTGCCCTCTCTTGACTCAGGGTAAAATTATTGGGTCAGTAGGTGAGAAAATCTTCAACAACATTTTTCAAGGGGGATAAGAGGAATAAAAAGAAAAAAATACTGCCCTGCATTGAAAAAAAAGTTTTCAGTCTGGTCATTTTAGTCAGTCGGTCTGGAGAGGCCGACAACCAAACATTTTTTAAAGATGGCCTATTTCTACACTTCATGGACATTAGCTCAATCATTGGATAAGATAGTCTTAGAATCTAAATTGAAATATCAGACAGAACAAAATAAAGATGAATTCTAAGTGACATCAATTCATACTTTAATGAGTTTTCAGAGTACTTCTGATTTCAGAGAAAAGGCAAATTCTGCAAAATGACATAACACTGTCATTATGATAAATATTTGTCAAGAACAGGGAAAAAGAAACAATGCTACAGTAATAGATATATTTCCTTGATATCCATGAAATAATAATTTAAATATAACAAAATTTTCTGCTTTTTAAAATCAAAATACAGAAAAAAAAATTAAAAGATTATAAATGTAAACAATTTTAAAATAAACTACATGTATTTGTGAAACATTCTTAATTTTTTTAGATTACTAAATTGGTCTTATCATTCCTACTAAATTAACAACCTTACAATTGCTAAGTGTCATGTTTTAAACTGTTACAGTAGATATAATTATACATGTTCACTGCAGCTTTATATACAAAACTCATCAGTTTTCAGAAATACTTATTTGAGCATATTAGGTCCTGGTAAGAACAAAATTAAATGAATAAAAATATTTAATTTAATCTTAATTGTTCATATATTAATTTCCTTGCAATTTTACAAACCCTTTTAAGAAACTTGTTACATGTAAGTATAGACAAAAGCAACCTTCAATTAATACCTATGATGTATACATTTATTTTACTGAAAACAAATTCAAAGATGGACGAGCAGAGCATGAACTGCAATCATCGCATACACATCTTTTCTAAATATATGGAAAACAGCATGTATATACTAGATAGGATGTTGTTAAACATTAAATTTTCTTCTATAATCTATAGACATATAATAATATGCATTGGGTATAACAAGTCAGAAGTTCTTCTCCAAATCTCCATTGATTTTGCCATGTCTGGTTCAACATCTTAGCTTGATCCATCCAACTTTCTTTAATATTCTTGAGCTGATATGGGATGACCTCTACTTTGATTGATGGCACAAATCTTTTAAGGAAACACTGAAGTACTTTTTTTTTGGCTCTTATCTATTCCAATTAATGACCCATGATCTGAAATCACATGTTTTCATTTTTACAATAACATTAAAAGGAATTGCATTTTTTGAATAGCATAAGGAATTGCACTGAGTTTCATTCACTCAATGAAATGAATAAATTTCCAATATAATGAATGAAGAATCAATATGAAATTATTGTAAAATTTACAGATTGAATCAGTGAAATGCAAATGCTTGATCAAGAAAATTAATGTTCTTGTCATGCACAATCTGTATCTCTTTTTTATTAATTAGAAAATGAGATATTAATTAAAATCAAACCTCGTTTAAAAAGGTAACTTGAACAATTGAATACCTGTTCTGAGGCCTAAAAAGCAAGGATTTTATTTTTCATAATTTCTTGAATGAATGCATTTTTTTTTTTGGCAATGTTGGGATATTAGTCACATCCTGACATCCTTGTACCGTTTGTTCATCGTTTTTAAATCCGTAGTCAGAAGATCATTCATAACTTTCAGTAAAATGAATAGTTAAATAATTACCTGATGAAAATACTATCAACAATCAAACTGTCAACATCATCATTGGACATGCCACATAGTCAAATGCACCGTTACTTTTCTTCCCGGTTCGGCCTGCATATAGCATAATACTTTACAGGATACTCTCAGGTCTTTTCTTTTTTCTTTCCCATTCTCACTTAAAATTTTAGTGTAGTGGTGAAGCGAGAAACACACATCAGCAAATGCGTCAATGACTTTCTTCTGAACGGAATTGCCGTGCAACTTGCCACGTTTCGTATCGAAAATAAAGAAGTCATCCTTTATTGGTTCATCCACATGCATCACGCTAATCTCAAAGGTTTCTAAGATTCCTATGCTTTGATTTGTTATAACACTTTCTCCTGAAAACGTCCTTTTTAGTCCTAACATTAAGTGACAACAAACATCAAGTATGACAGAGGAAATTCGTTACCGAGATGCTTAGCATCGCTGGTTTAAATTCGCCTGTTTCAAACGCTTTGGTGATTCGCAAGAGTTATCTCCCTGTTAACGCAAACCTTACCTTAATACACCCGGTTGAAATCAGACTTTTTGAGAAAGTCGGCTGCGTTCGCACTGGCGGTGCACTGGGCTGTAATTAAGTGTTTTGATCCTGAATTCATACCCACAGAAATTTAAAAGTACAAATGTATGGTAGACAAAATATGGTTTCTGCTCTAAAATGATTCCCATATAATAATGTGAAAAACGGAAACTAAAAGAAAACACAAGCCTAAGAATTGGTACTAAGAGTGCCACAGTGCAACTTCATCAGAGAACGCAAACGAAAAATCCCTAGAAATATAGGGTTTTAAATATAATTATTATTTTATGCATGTATGTGCATATAAAGGTACCTTGTGTGTATATTTATTGTTTAATCATTTCATGATTGTATTTAAGAAATTTCATATTTAAATCTATAATCGTTTTGATAAATTAAGGAATCTGATTCTGTTAATTGGATTATTTTCTCCAAAAATTAGAACCTTTGATATTTGTGTCTTTGCATTTGACGTTGCAGATTGCCCCGGGTGTTAGAGAACCGTATCACTTCAAACCTAACTTCAAATAACTTTATGTTGTTATGTAAAAGAGTATTCATTTTGTAATCAGCTTTTGGATCTCCCTTTATTGTATTGTTACATGTATTACTTAATTATTGTCATTCTCAGTAAATGTACATTCACAAACAAATTCTGTGTCCTGATATTTAATATAGGAAGATAACTGAAGGTATATTTTGATCTTTATATTACTTGAATAGCATGCATTACATGAACATTTGAAAGTTTCAAGTTAGCAAATCAGTATGTTTACAAGAACATTATATAGATTGAGCGATAAGAAAATACTTACCTGTTCGGACATGAGACTTCAGCAAGATAACATTGTTGTTCAGTATTGATGCTTTGACAAGCAGGATCTAAAACCATAAATAAGGAATTAAAATGTCAATGAACATATAGATAAATAAATAATTTTTGAGAATGCGTTTAGGGTGCAATTTGATACTTTGTCCCTTAATGAAATTGCATTTTTTAATCAATGATCTTACACTGGTATATTGTGTTGCTTTGATAATTTTCGACAGGACAACCTGATGAAAATCCAAGACAATCGACGTAATAAAGCTTTTCGCCGTCAGTTTCCAAACAGTTGCCTTAATAATGAGATGAAAGGTAATATAACTATGTATGTAAAAAAAAACAGGAATAAAAACTATATAGAATTTTTAAAATACACAGAAGAGCAAAAAGAAGGCTTTTGTCATCATCATTTCAATCAGATAAAACATAAAAGTAAAGAGTCTTTCAACAAAATTTCACACAAACTTTTAACTTGTTAACACGAGCATGATATTTGGAACCATTCTCTAATTAATGACAGATTAGATAAGTCAGATATGACTAGGTCATGCTTCGATTATAGCAATCTCATTAAAATAAGATGTTATATCCGCTCGCATACTCGCTACACTACAATTTAACAACATCCCATAGAGGGTCACGTCAGAGGTCAAATGTGGAACAGCTCTAGACTTATTCACTTCGATAACGTCAACAAATATCCAATGATTTTGCCAGCGACAATTTGATTGGTTGATAGAATTTAACCTCTGATGTGACCCTCTATGGGATGTTGTTAGATGTTAGTATAACGAGTTTGCGAGCGGATCTAACATCTAATTTAAATTAGATTGCGATTATAATAGAATACAAGTCGAACTATATGTTCAACTGGACAAAAAAGGATAGACTCTGACAACAAAGGACTGCAGCACATTGATTTTAGTGTTTAACACTTTTACAAACAAATCAAAGAAGAATAAAAAATAATCAACCAAAAAATCGTTCTAAAGTTAAAAAAGCACAGAATATATATGATTAATGAAATGTAAAAGGTATTTTTTTTCCAATGAAAAATGTTGAATTCTTTGCAAAAATTAAATAAAACCAAAAAAGTTTATGTCCTGAAACACATTTTATCGATTCCTAGCAAAAATTGAATAAAACAAGAAAAAATTGTCTTGAAAAACATTGAATGAGATCTCACGAAAAAACATTGAATAAGATCTCAAAAAAATAGAATGAAAATTGAAGAGAAGGAGGTCCATACTCTCGAGGACAAAGTTAAAATATATAAATGAGATTGACAGGTTTTAAGTACGTTGAGCTTGTAGAGTCTAGATAGAAACCTTACTAAAACATGATTATAATTATACCCTGTGAAAAAAAAAATTCTCAGAACTGTCATTTTTCACATTTTTTTCATCTATCGATTAGTGTTAACAACATTTTCGTCTTAAGTAATTAAATACTCGTAGATAAGACAGTTAGCATAGCTTATCTTTTTTTACAGTTTAAGATTTCTAATTACTTTTCTTTTTTAATTAAAAACAAACTTTAAATATGAAATATCTCACTTTAAAAAACATTTTTACATGGAACTACTTAAAATACATTGACAAAAAATATTATTAATGTTTCGTAAAATATCTTTTATATTTGTAAAATACAACAAAGATACTCATTAATAATGGATATATATTTTTTTCTTTTCGGAGGAATCCTCTTAATTAGCCCTTCAAGTTTCATTGAAAGCAATCTAACGATATACAAAGTTTCCGAATACATTATTATGATATCAGTCTAAAATGTTTTAGCGACATGTTTCTACGATAATATGACCTTTTCGAAGATTCTTTATACACGCTTTTTAACACATTGAACACTGGGACACTTACCTCTCTGTATCAATTCCATGACACCATTATAACATAGTTCTAATAACCCTGTTTTGTTTCTGTTAGAAACACAGATGTACTGATCGTTCCCATACTTGTCTTTACCACAGCCTATCCTGGCGGAGGATTCCTTTACCTCTGTAGCGTTCTGGGGACATGAATTCACAAAGTTTTCCATTTCTACGAGGAAAAGCAATTTTTAAAACAAAATATATATAGTCATATAACTAAATGTTGCATTATTCTCTGATAAAAAAAAGAAATTCAGCATCTCTGAACACTTTCATCGTTATAAAGTTGCTCCCTGTATGTTCAATTCAAAGGTAGTACTTTGCTGATTTTTTTTATCCGAATTGTCAAAAAACATCACTGCTTTTCAGACTAAGAATTATTATGAAAACATTATCATTAAAGAGGTTTCAAAGCTATCTATTGTGACTGTGTTTAACAGAGGATGCTAAATCTTTCATGATTAATTCTTATATCACCATTGGAGTATCAAGGAATCTTTGTCCCCTGTCCCTTATATTTTTGTGATTCAAGTTTTTAATATTTAATCTTTTGCATAAAATATCTCAATTGACAATAAAGAAAAATAATTAATGATATTATCCCTGGATGAAAACTTATTATTCCTGAATCGTGCTTCTATAGTTATTGGGTAATTAAGACACCTGTGTACAACACGGGGTAAAACATATCCTGATGTACATGTGCAAATGGTAGGGATATGATAATGATAACTAATCGAGGAAAATATCTTGTGTTATCTATGTTTTAATTATGAATTTCTGATAATATTTCCGTATATTTTCAATCCAACATCTGTAATAGGTGACACCATCGAAAGGGCAAAGGTGGTTCTAGAAATTTTTGAAAGAGTGTATTAAATCAAATCACTAGCCATTGTTATGTTGAACATAATTTCTGCCCCCCCCCCCCCATGTAAAAGCTAAAATTACTCCACCCATCAAAGAAGATTCTTATTTCAAAAGTTTCCTAATTAATTGCATTTATTGGCAACATGTTTATCTTAGTCATTGATGTTGAATTTGACATATGCATGTACATGGATATATTCTCTGAATGTCTTCGACATTTCTGGTACGTTTTAGAATTTATAGCGACTTATGATAAAAGTGTCTAGAAAGTAAAGGAAAAAAGTAAACTATATTATGTTGTAAAAAAAAAATACAATATCAAAAAATAATGAACATTATTAAATGACATCATTATTGCTTTTTACTGGTTCCTAAAAGAAATAACTTCTTAGAAGTTTATATTTTATAAATAACCGTATTATTATATTAAAACTACTTAATGATATATGTTTTGTATATAAAATCTAAAATATTTATTAGTATTGACTTTGTTTGAACGAGAGTCTGGTTTTGGAATGACTTTAAAATATAAGAAATTTACACCACGTGAGAACAGAAGAGGCCTGAATAACGTATCCCTCTTTTCCTGCTTCCTGCATACATTTCATTTGATTCCACTTATTACCTAAAACATTTCCAAAACCGAGGACTTACTTGTTTATAAGACTTTGCTTGTCACGTTTTCTGCTTCCATATACGAGAGACTGATCAATCCAAAAATCTTTAAAAATTAAAGAAAATAAATTAGTATACTTTGGAATATGGTGTTGTAGTTGATTCGTTTGATAAATCTTTAAAAAATCTCAGAAATGAATAGGGTTGCAACGTGCATTTTTCAGGTAATTAAAACTTAAACCATTAAAGAGCTCCAAGAACTGTATTTTCTGATTTTACATAGTATTATTATCATATCAATCAGAGATTTCCCAGATATTTAATCTTATAGAAATTGTTTCGTATTTATTTATCTATCAATTTGCAAATTCATGATTTTAACTTTAATATCAAATAATGTGCATTTGTCTTACAGGAATAAAAAAAAATGATGTCATATGTTCTAAAATCAAATTAATCGGTTTCAAATTTAATTTGTAAATTTAAGGATATGTCTTTAAAAAAGATAAGTCCTGTTATGGTTAATGATTCTACTGATATATCTAAAAAAAAAAAAAGAAGAAGTCATTGTTTGAGTAGTCTCAGTTTGAGTCAATTTCCAATTCTTATTGCAATGCAAAGTTTATGTGTTCAGCCAAAGAAATTAATGAATTATTCTTACACACAATTGTTGTGTGTAAGACGGCATTTGAGTCATTCATAAAACGAAAGTTGATCAAATTAAATTGTATAATAATGTCATTGTTTAAATCTAAATAAAAATTAAAATTGCTAATTATGTCAAAATCGATTATAGTTAATAAAGTATTTACCGATTCAAGTTATCCTTGGCCTTATTCCAGCACTACGGGGTATTCTCCATTATCAGAGTTAGAAAGAGCGTGCATGTTGTGCGGTTTTAGTACAGGTAACCTTTATTAAATATCCGGGTTCCCTGTGTATCTCTGTAGTCTTGCACAAAAACAAAACACAATACTCTTTTATAAGCAAACACATGCATGCATATCGCCTGAAGTTCAATAACAATTAATGTAAATATATTCCTTGTCGGAAAAAGGGTGACAGCCCCCCTACCCCTTTTAAGCCCCCAAGAAAACACAACATTTAAAAAATAATGCTTTTTTGATGTGGCTGTGGACCTATTGCCCCCCCCCCCTCTTTCAAAATATAAGATAAGCCATGATATTGACCCGTACACGTGATCAAAGTTGATAATGTACTGAATGGTACGTTTAATATTAAGAAGGAACTGAACAATTGGAATTTTTCAATTCTTTGTAGTGGAGTTTTGGGTTGGATGCATTGCTCCCCCCCCCCCCTCCCCGCTAAAAAAAAGCATTTGTTTGCCTTCTTACAGACAAGAGTGACTGAAGGAAACGGTCTGACACGATTTTTTTTTTTTACATTCCAGGATATGGGAGATATAGAGCTAGCAAACATTAATTACATATATCTTAATTATTAAAAAAAACTGATAGGTCAAGCATAACAATTATATACCAGAAGGTAATAACAAAAGGTGATAAAAAAGAAAGAAAAATGCCAGGAAATACATGATATTCAATTTTCATTTCATAACGTATTTAAATAAATGCTAGTTGAAGTGCATAATATACAGAATAGATTAATTTTTCTTTAATTTTATTTTTTGTGATAGGAAAAGTGAAAAGAGTACGTGCAACTTTATCAGTTATTGCCTGACGTCACGGCGTCAAGCTGTATAAGGATTGATATTTGCTTGATCCGAAACTAATAGATCATACCCAGAGAGCAAGATTTTGTGCAAGCTGATTTACATTGGAAATCTTTTACCTGCATTTTAAAAGAAACTTTTCTTCAAAACAATGATTTTTATAATCAAAATAATGCAGTATTTACTTTGTTTACTCTGTTTGCATGAAACAGATTATTCCATTGAAATTACCGTTTCAAAACGTGCACATAAATATCTTTTTAATGCATTTTTTTACTGGATCAGTCCATTTATACAGTTCTCAAAAAAAGGGGTGATTTAAGTTTTAAATGTCACGAAAATATATATATTTATTGTTCTATTGTATGAATGGGGGTGCTAACTTCCATGGAATTAAATAAATAAAGTTAATTAAATAACGTTTGTTATTGTAACCTCCATCTTCCTTTGTTTCAGAAATTCTATATACAACTTTTATCTTATTCCTTAAAACAACATACGATTCGTACTTATCAGAATATGGACATGCAAAACAAATGAAATGATTTCTCTTATTTGTTTCCCTTCTGTTGGTTTAATCCATATTTTAATGGACTAGTCCAATCACCACAAACGATCGACGCAGTTCAAACAGGTTCCAGACGATTTGACGAAAGAAATTACCTGTGCGAAATCTTGGATTTGTTTTCGAAAAGGCCTAAATGTTGGTTTTACCTATTTCATCCTCAAAAAATTATAGTACTCACGTTTCAAGATCAATGAACATAAACTACAACTGTTTACTTCATTGGAGAAAATGCTCTTTTTTCAACATATGTATTTAGTTATATCCATTCTCTAAAATGTTCATGATGAATGATTTGACAACAGATTTAAAAAAGGGTGTAGTTTTAAATTTAAAAAACAGGGGTAGATAACAATTATATACAGAAAAGTCAATCGCAAAAAGTGGTCTTTTCGTCAGAGGTCAAAAAACAAACTCGAATGCATCGACATCATCGGATGTTAAAAATTTATACATTTCCTGGTCATAGTAAAAAAACGGAGTTAGAAGTAGTATATTTTAGATAATATCATTACATTGAATAAAAGTAACTCCAAACTCCACAGAAAAAAGGTCTATATACATCATCCATGCTTTTATTTCAAAGTTTGTGAAAAGGGGGGGGGGGTATATTAAATTAACAAAACATTTATGAAAGCCAATCCCTTGTATAATGCCCGATAGTGGGAACGAAATAACGATTGGCAAAAAACTGTACATTAACCATTTTATTAACAACTCTTGCTGCACAGGGGCGTAGCACAAGGGGGATTGCTCCCAACCTTACTTATACTATAGGAAATCTGAATTTTTTTTTTGCTTGTCAACTTTTTCAAAGTAAAAAAAATTGTCATGTTGCCCCCCCCTTTCAAAATCGATGCTACGCCACTAGCTGATGCAGCAAAGACATCCTTCTTTTACAAGTTAAATAATTAAATATTTTTACAAGGTTCTCAAATAAAAAGACAGCACAAAAAAGTATTGCTCAAAAGGTTTATCACTTCTCTCACAGATATTGATTGATTACTTCAGGCAAGCTTTTTGAAAAGCTGTTACTTGTAATAATGTTATGTTTCAAATAAGCTTCCTATTAAAGCCAATTTACTTGTATAAATAGGGAACGCAAATAACAGCTACACTGTACCATCGTCAATTTTTGCTAGTGCTTATTATCGCAAATTGCTCTCTAATGTCATATCGCGATGCAGTACTGTTAGGCTAAAAAATAGAAATAACTGCGGTTTTTTATTTCAAGATAAAAATACATACTTTACAAGGATAGGCATTCCTTTTAGACTTTACTGATATTACAAAAATCAAATGTACTTCAAATTCATATGTTGAGGAGATTCAGATTTGTTTTTGAGACTTTCACGTGAGTAATAAGATTTAAGCAAATATAATTATCTACAAATTTTGAAATTGCAAACGAATAACAAAGTTGAAAAATCGTTTTATTTTTAATACTTTTTAACACTTAATGTACTATTCTAGTACTGCGAAGTTATATCAATTCCAATGACCAATATGCCATTACTGATGTGAAAATAAAAAAAAACAACTTTCTTTTATATTTATAATATGATATTCATTTTATCCAAAAAAAACTGAAATTGGTTGCGTAAGAATTGGCATTTAAAAACCCTCAAAGACCCATCGAATTTACTTGAAATTCATCACCAAATAGCATGGAAAATCAATTATTCCTGGGGGGCCATTGGCCCATCAACAATAACATCCAGAGTGATCCCTGCTTATATTACTTTTGCAATGAATATGCATACAAATACACAACAGCATCATGCCTCTGGACAATATACGAACAATATATCAATAAAATAATGCAATAGATTTTGCATCCAAATAAACGACCTTTTATATAAGTGCAAATAACATTTTATTAGATAATAAGACAATTTTTCATTGTATGAAACGTGGCCAGATCAACTTATCACTATGGACAAATTGCGTCAACTTTTCAAAAACTCCGTGTTACACGGACCGTTTAATAACAGTGTACATTTATCAGGGGTTTTGGTACTTTTTCAAACTTAATTTTCTTTAAAAAGTGTATGTTACCTGAGAACTGACACATATGATTCCTTAACATACCCGCGTCTTCTTTATTTCTCCAGGTTAACTTGTAACTGCGCTGTAAGACACAGAAAAAATACCCTGCCGAGCGATGAATTGTGCCAAATAAATGTCAAACTTTAAAGGTCATGTTCTCAAGCCAGGCACGCTGCATCGTTTTTTTTAAATTTTTTTTTTTTTTTGGGGGGGGGGGGGGGCAACCAGTAATTTTTTTTTAAATACCAGAAAAAGTTGACAACTTCAAAATCTTATTTCTGGGGGGTGGGGGGTGCGTTAGCAAATTTTTCAAATCCAAGTTATTTTCACTTCCGAAAATTCTCTCATATCAATGTCAAATTTTAAATGAACATTTACTATAGTTAAGGTATCGTAAATGTACCTACGTCCCTGCAAGGTCCTAAGTGTTCCAACAGACCCTGAGACGTGCTACTACCCCACACGCTCGCTGCACGAACGGTACACGAACGCTACACGATTTGCAAGAAACGCTGTACGGTTTACACGAAACGCTACAGGGTTTACACGAAACGCTTTGCACGAAAGAATGCACAGTTTATAGGAAAAGCTCACAAAACGCTTTGTACACCTTTCTCATACGTTTTGTATACGATTCTCACACGTTTTGGCCTCGATTTGGATTAATACTCGGAATCTCTCGGACATTATTACGGTTTTATTATTAATAGATCAATTATATGTCAATCTCTTACAACTAGTTTAGCAGCGGATTAAATGAAAATTCTGTATACACCAGATATGTACAAACCGATAGAAATATTCAATACTGTCTTCCCGCAAATTTTTATTAAAATAGAAAATTAGGTGTCATGACTTAGTCATAATATCAATTCTCTGTAAAAATCAAAATGACGTGGCCACGCGATGTCTTGGATTCAGCTAATTTTTTTTCTTACTGAAACTTCAATGAATGAAAAGATTGACTATATGAAAGAAAGCATGGTAGTTTACCCGGTTGCCATGGAAACGGGGTTAGAAGGTGTAAATTATAGTGGAATTTGCTATTTATCAATAATATAAAAAAAAATTTACTAGGCAAAGCTGTTAACATGCATATTATTTTATATGCTTCATGACAATCAAAACTATGTAAAAAATAGTATATGTCACAAAATTTTTACAATTTCTAATTTTCTGATGCCAAAAAAGTGAAAAATTAGTCCTCGTTACCTCCCTTGTTAGACTTAATATTTAAAGACTTTGACAAGTGATGTGAAAATCCTAGTAGGGAGATTAAGATTCAAGAAATGTTATTTTGCAAATATCATTTAAAACATTTATGGGTAAATGAAAAATAAACATTTTTTTAAACTATAAAGTTGGTCTAAATGTGCTTTTTCTCTGTCCGAGTTATTTCCCTTGTTGGAGCTCTTCGGCATTGAAGAATACAAAATGTGTAAAATGTAAACAAGATGGCAGACAATAAGATCTGCATTTTTCCCTCTTGTTTTGAAACATCTTGTTCAGGAAAATTCTACCTCAAGAGACTCAGAATTTGATGAAAAACAGTTAAGACAAAGAGATAATCTTTAAGAAAAGCCAAAGGGTTGATCTGGACATGATGAGTATTACAC